TTTCACTCGGCAATTCGAGAAACGGAAACTCAATGGTATTTGCTGTGAAATCCATAAGATCTGCAAAATCATTGTTTTTTTTTTTGAGATCAAAGTAGCCTTGAGATGAAAATAACTTACTGGCAACTAGTATTGAGCAGTAAAGGCGATTAGAAAGCCGTACAATGAAGAGTAGTGCGTCGAGAAAATGACTAGCCTGAGATAATTATATATAGTCAAAGTGGTAATCGTGTGCTTGAAATCAACTGATAGCTGAGGTTGATGCGCGATGGCCGTCGGAGGCACATTGGGTCGTCGATGATCGCTTCAGGATATCCCACGACTGTCTCAGGAGATAATCGCCATCGACGGTTGTGGCACGAGGCGCTTGGATCGCTAATGACCTCCCGTAGTTTAATTGACGTTTACGAGACCCCTCAGGTGGCTGGGAAATGATAACGAAGTGGGTTGGGGGCCCCCTGGAAAACGCGACTATTCAATGAAATGAAGGAGGTGGTAAGAGATAGTGCTGTAAAAAATTTGCAGCCCTTTTAAAAGCCCACAACAAGTGGCTCCTCATCAAAATATTTTACCAGAGACCCACTTTTCAATTACCATTCCACTCATAAACTTGTTCTTCGAAAGGACTGATTCTGGTGAAACTCAAATCCTATTGATTTTCTATTTTTTGAAGTTTTTTTTGTTAAAGTTTAAAGTTGAAGTAAAAGAACGCCGGAGTATGCAACGATCCCATAATTTAGCACTAATTTCCCGAAGGGAACAGAAAACGTGGTTTGCCTGAGGCAGCGGTCGGTCCTGTGAGCGGTGCTTGTGCGATGCAGTGCCTCTTGCCGCTGATCTACACACCTTCATCGCCAAAGGGTGATACCCACATTCTCAATCTTTTTTTTTATCCAGGTGAGGGAGAGCAAATTTCAGCTTCCCGTTGAGGTGGGGGGAAGAGCGGTTGGAGTCTATGAAGGGCTCCATAATAATTTTTGGATATACAGCACGCTACCCATCCGCTGGTTGATGACACCGACAGCATCGTAGGAGCCATCGTGTTGCCCATTTTATGATCCTTTTCCAACTCCAATTCGATTCCCCTTCGGATGCGACGAGTACGATCTTTCTTGCCCCACATTCTTGACTCTGATCGTTGGGTTCTGCACATTGGTTTTCACAAACCTTTCAGAGGGTTCAGTCATTTATTGCCTCGACATTTCTTACAAGCACAAGAATAGCGCAACACTGGCACGAAACCTCGCTGTATTGGGTTGAAACTCAGGTCAACCTTCACCAATCATTCGTCCATCC